CTTATGATATGTGTAACACTGAAGATCCCCAATTGTGTAATCATTGTATCTCATTCTTCTTATAGTATATGTGTAACACTGAAGATCCCCAATTGTGTAATCATTGTATCTCATTCTTCTTATAGTATATGTGTAACACTGAAAATCCCCAATTGTGTAATCATTGTATCTCATTCTTATTATAAAAATTTGAAAGTCCCCCAGTTATTGAATGTGTGGATGATCGTGAAGACACAATCATTACTCTTTTGAAGATCTTGCAGTGAAAGTAGCCTGCAATGTTTGTTTTTATGAACGTTTAATACTGTTTCTAAATACTGACTTATTGGGTAACTGATTTGTCCTATACACTTATCACACTCACATAATCTTGACATTCTTTCATCATACACTTCATCTTCACTGTTTATTTACATAAATTTGTGTCAAAAGATTCTGCATTGCTTTATAAACTTAAGATGTTTTTAAAACTGACTAAGAGTGTTTATTTCTTTAAACTCACTTGTACTTGGGAAAGAAAATTTATTGTGTTCTCTTTATGTATTACTAAATGACTTTAAAGCAGTTTTTGATTCAACAAAAATCATAATTTTCCTTTGTTTCAATGCTTTTTATTTTCTTTTTTTCTTACAACTTAAATTTCATTTTTGCTATTTAGTGATGAAAGTTTGTATTTGTGTTTAGGATGTTCATGCAAAGCTACATAAGGGCTCTCTATGAATGGCCATCCCTAAGTTTGAACTGATATAATATAGGGAAGGCAGCAAATGCAAGCTCTGGGGCTACTCTCGCGTGACTGAATAGTGGAATTTGGCTATTTTATAGTGAACTCAAGGTTCCAAAGTGCAGAGCATTTTTTTAACAACAGAAATCATAAATACTTGGATTCACAGTCCAAATATGCTGACCACTGGGCCATGCCTGACCAAATAAAACTTAATTTGGTAATTAATCATATGTAATGTAACCAATTTACAGTGTCAAATCCATTCTTTATTAATTTACAAGTTTAATGATATAAATGAGGTTACTTAAGAAAAAAATCATGTTTGGAGAAATAAGATTCAATTTCATTTATTTATTTAACATTGTGTTCATTAGTATTTCAAGAAAAAAGTATTTTCTCTAGATATGGGAGTTTCCTGCCACTTCCTGTTGGTAAAAAATTCCAATATTCAGCTCAAAAATCATACACTAAATTAATCTCTGAAGATCTAAATTGTTTTAACTATAATACTAAAAAAATTATAATTATGTTTGTTATTGTGTTATTTACTTATTCATGGAGTTCATTTAAAGCATCACAGTTTGTTTAGTAGTAACTCTTGTTACCTTCTTGTTTTCATTATTCACACCAAAGTTGTAGCAACTTGATCATAATGAATTACTGGTTTTAAAAATGCCCACAATATTTTTTGGGCTTACATCAAGCATCTTAGAATATTTCTAGAGAACTAAGCTTGTAGCATTGCTCCTCATACGTTGATTTAGCCAGCAAAAAAAATTATAGCTTAAAAATAGTTAAGCATTTAAAACACAAGAAAAACAGAAAATACCTGTTATAATACATTTCAACTGCTTCTGCAGAGTAATGTTTGTGATGAACTTTCTTCATTTTTCTCTGTAATAATAATAATGCAACAGTGTACTTAAAAAAAAGACAGAAGGAAAAAAAAGGCAGATAAAGTTACTAATATATGCAATAAAACAGTAGATGTAGATGCACAACTTGATATTAACCTATATATCATTATCAAATTTACGTATTTTTAATATTTTTATCAGAAATATTCTTAAAAAAGCTATTTTATACATAATAATCAAAATGGTTCTAGAAAAGAGTTTTCTTGCTTATTGGAGGTATTTCAAAGGGTTTTTCATGCATGAAGACCTCAAAATGCTGTAATCTTTCATTGAAGTTTTACAAAATGTCATACGAGAGGTAAGTTAGAAAAAAGGTACTTTTAATGGAATTGTTTGAAAAGTTAAGTAGTTATAAAATGGTATAAATGAACATTTGACTGATTGGCAAAATTTTATTGTCTTAAAATTTTTATTCATTAGTTATTACATGGGCTTGTTTGCAGACCACATGCACTTTTCTATCCTCGAAGAACACAGTGGGATCTATACACTATGTTACCACTTCCTTTCTGTAATGCAACCTTTCCATGGATCCTGAAGGGAGCCCACCAGCTCTGGTCCATGGACAATAAATTGAGAAATACTGCACTAGAGCTAGGAAAATGAGTATCAATATTTTTAAGTGTAAAATGTGCGAGTAAAATGTTATTGAAAAAGACAAAGCTGTTGAACATAAGAAAGGTAGAGTCCAAAAGCTCAAGTGGCCTAATAACGTCACTTCTCACCCTCCAAAACTATATTAGATGTTCTCTTTAACACATTTTTTTTATAAAAGAAGCACAAATTTAGACATAGGAGGCAGAGAAAATTGCTTTATAATGCATCCTGGGGCACAAACTAAAATTACCTTTATGTTGCTCTTTTAATCTTATTCACCTTGTACAATTTTCAATAAAATGTAGTACTTCTTTCTGCATGTTGCTTTGAACTAGGCACTACAACATCTATACTTTTCCTGTGGTTTTGTGGGTGAAAAATGTTATCTCCTGTTTTACTGAGTTTTCTACATGGCAATTTGACTTGGATGCAGCACAATCTATCTTCATTATCATGTACTACCTGATGAGGAGACCCTCGTGGCAGAAAAATGATGGAAAACACCACAGGCAAATTAATGAATGTATAAAATATTCAAATGTTACTAGATTTAGTAAATTATAAATAAAAAAAATTAAAATTATGATGTTTTTATGGTTTGTGTCAAAATAAAGTGGACCTCACTTGTGTTCAAGTTATAGTGCAACAATTATATATTAGATCAGAATTCTTTATTACCACAACAAAACCAACTTCATTTTTTGAATTTTTTTTATACTTCATTATGAGGATTTATTTTAGAAATGGAGTTGCATAATTTCTCAGGTTCTTGGAAAGGTATAACATACTATAAAAACACACAGCCTGCAAAAATGCAGGTTTAATTTACAATTTTTCAGGTCTAAGCTTTGACCTGGACTCCCTTATCATTAGAGCTCCAAGAAGCTGTGAATAAGGAGACAGGACAATTTGGTAATTATCAATTATTAAAAAGGTGGAAATGACAGTATTGGAGACCACAGAAATATTGAACTCTACTGCACTTCCTTTCTTTTGTATAGGTTAGACAGTTTGTGTTTAGGCATAAAGATATGCATGAAAAAACTTGAGGATATTGAGCCTGTAATGTTTTTCTTCACTTACAATAAATTAGTGATGAGGAACCTACTCACAAATCATTCCTGAACCAAAATTATTTTAATAACTCAACATAAGATATTTAAAAATAGAGAAAAAATGCTCAATAATGAAATGGAATTTGATCTCTCAATAGTAAACAGCCAATGAACATTCTGGATCAGTTTGAATCTGAAAGCACAAGATAATGTAATCACCTCCTATCTGTTTATCTATACATAGTGACCTGACAAAAAATTTACTCCATCCATTAAGAATGGCAAGCTTAACTTGTTAAAACTAGTCAGGTTTTTAAAATTTTGTTAAATTTTTAATCTTTCGTGCATTGTTATGCTGATTTGCTATTATTGATTAGAGCTTAAAACATGAGAGGGCTTATAAAGGAGAATGGTTTTTTAGTTATACTAATTAAATGTATTCTATCATTCATAGATGGTTTATTAACATAATAGCTCCAAAAAGTATTCTGATTTTTCAACGGTGAAAAAAGAAACAAGTAGATATGAATTGTGTCCACTGACAGATGAAAAGCTTAGATAAAAATATATTTGTTTGTGGGGGGAATTGAAGTTATATAAATGATTATAATAAAATTAAATTATTGCATCAAACATTAGACATATATTTGCATCAATCCAATCAACCAAGAAAGGAGATTTCTGTTCCTCATTATTGAAGCCTAATCTTCCTTAACGTTTCCATTATTATTAAAATAACCTAATGTGGCATCCAGTTATGGCTCAATCAACTCACCAGGGGTTTCTGTGATTCCATGATCACAGAAAAAACAACAACATAAAAACATCTACTGACAACATAAAGTTTAAAGAGGCATAGATTTTTCACAGAAATTTTCAAATATTATTTTATAGAAACAGTAACATTTTTGAATTCCGTGTTTTACTTACAGTGTATTACATTATGGGCCCAATTCACATACCAATGGTGAAACTAGAGTTAAAATTGGTGGCATTTTATGAACATTCCTCACAACTTTATTCCTTATTTCCACCTCAATACACAAGTTATTTAAATTATTATTATTAATTTTGCATTAAAGTTCACCATACCAAAACCAATATTCTACCAAGGTCAAACTTTAGTTCCAAGTTATAACTTCTAATTATATGTACATATACATATGTGTGTGTCATTGTACATGTGAGTTAATGAAGGAAGCTGAAAAAAAAACAGCTGAGGACATAATCTCAGTACCCTACTAACTAGTTACGGCCCTGGTCTGTAATGATCATATTGTTATAACACTAACTAGTTATGGCCCTGGTCTGTAATGATCATATTGTTACAATAGGGGAAGTCGCTTGACGCTGGGAGCATGCGTGCTGGAGTTTCTAGAAGGATCGTGACTTATCATGGAACCTCGCGAATGTCCCAATGTTTGCTAGATGCCCTCTTTTTTTTTGGATATAAGCCAGCGATAGATAGATATGCAGATAGATTGAAGATTCAGATAACTGAGTCAAGTGAACAGTTGGCACCGTAAGTAAAGTGTGTGAATCACTGTGATTTATAGAGTGTGTTATAAAAGTTGTTAAGTGTATTACAAAGTTTTATCGAGAAAGAATAAACTAGTTTTAATTAAGAAAGGACTTGTATTGCCGAAGTTCCTTGGAAAGAATTTATACCGGAAATTATCAAGCGAGCAGAGATGTAACAATACTGTACATTTCTGCAATAACAAACATATTTTGCACGTACATTATATCATATTGCTTGATTCATCCAGTACCTCTAAACCTACACTATGTATGTGCATAATTTTATGCCTGACAACTAATTCACAACCAATTAGATTTTTCTTGTTATTTTTAGTCCCACATACACCAATTGTTAACAAATGTTAATTATCAATTCTCCGATATTGCCTAGCCAATGAAACAAAATCATATACACAAAGGGAACAGTCTAAAATTATTGTGGTTTGGTTAAGGCAGGACATGATACATACTGCTATAACACTATTCTCTAACAAACATCTCTACTTCTGTGTATAAGAATGGAGCTGGTTTAATCCGTTGAATAGGTGTTACCAAGTGTTCTAAATTTTTATTAATGTAATACAGCATTAAAAGAGTGAAATTAATTATTTTATTCAGCTTTACATGAAATATAGACCAGTTACTGGTTCTATCATTCCAAAGCAAGTAATATATGACTGTAAGTTAGTGACACACAAAGTCACGTGTTCAGCCACAAAATTTCATGATTTATTTACCAAGTTTTTACAAATTTTACCATAGTAAACCTAGTGTTTTATTACTATAACAGGGTATAAAGCTATGTCAAAAATCATATTACTCATGTATGCTTTATGTATGTATGTATGTTTAATTGTGAAATGTACCAAGTGCTAGAGATTATTCAGTTAGCTGCATCCACTGGAAGGTAAAACCATATTGGAATAGAGGTCAGATAAAATATCAAATAGCTTTAGTCTCTTGCTTTAATATTAATATGTATCTTGGAATGTTAGCAGTTTAAATTACACAAATCCAAAATTATAACTCAAACTTATTCCCCACCCCAAGACTGAGACACGAAGAAACATATTAGCATGACTGTATAATATATACATGGGTAAGATGTCTCCGAAAGACACCTTAACCCTTTTATATGCATTTCAGTACCTTTGAAAAAACTTCAATAAGCATTTTGTATCTTTTCTTATAAATGTAATAAGCAGTAACTTTTGTTTTGTACAAATGTTTGTGATCTTTACACAACTTAAACATTAACAAACTATTAAATAAACTTGCAAAAACTTAATTATTAAGTCAAAAAGTTTAAGCTTTAAATTAAGTCAGATTAATACCTCAGGTAAATCCTCTGTTAATAAAACTCATAAATACTTTGCTTCATTGTGCAGTTTGCAAAATTAAACTATTTTAAGAACTTGTCATATTCGTCTATGGATTAATGACTTGGTTGGTTGTTTTGGCTGGGCGATGAGTGACTACAATGAATCAAATGTCATCTTATTCTTTCTTGTGTTCTTAAACAACCTACAACAGGGATGCCACTTTACACATTAACATTAATTAAAAAGTCAAAGAAAATTAGCACTAAGTTTAAGTTTGATAAGTAGGGCATTCTTGAGTTAATTTTATAAAAAACATTCCTATCTGAACAGTTTTTTTTATTGTTTGATTAATACTTAGATGTTCAACAAAAACATAGGAAAATTTACAGTGTTCAATGAACTTTATCACACAGTTTGATGGAAACTGCTAATCTGATCATTTTTTCTTAAATGCACAATGTTTACTAGATAATCAGAAAAGTGTTTTTGATAAAATATTAGAAAATAGGTTTATTGAAACATATGAAATTACTATAAAACAAATTTAATTATATAAAATTATACATAACTCTTACCTGATACTCTTGAGCAATTATACTTCCAATAGTTCTCTCTGGTACCCTTCAGAAAATTGTAAAAACTTATTGAATGGTTTATATATCAGAACTGCATAAATAAACTGCAGTAAATACATGAAAGTTGCTATATTACAAAAACATAGGTTATGCTGATTTCATAATTCTATTTTATTTGTTTGCTTGTTTTTAAGCAAAAAGATACGCAATGGGCTATCTTTGTTGATTTTTAGCATAATAAGCATTTAGATTTACCACTGAGTCACTGGGAGGCTTTCAGTTTTACAACATTCTTTATTCTCACAAGATATTAACCACCTTCAAATACTTTATTATAAATTATCATTCTTTCACTATATTTATAAGCTGTTGCTGAGCGCAAAAAAATTAAAAGCACATCTTCAGTATTATGTAATAAAACTATAACTATCAGTAAACAAGTCACAGATGTCATGTACATGCATAAAACTACTTTTTGTTTCACATGATCATAAACCATTGAGTAGAAAATTTGAACTGGTATTGCATCCAATTTCTGACTTGATTTAATGAAATATAAAAGCATATGTTCTGTTTTTGAACATAACTCTGCCAAAATTTTGGTTAAGTGTGACAATAATTATATATTTGAATATAATTGCAAGTTGTTTCTGTAATGGCAGTTATACTTCCAATCACCTTATGACAATACATGTATATTTTTCAGTACCACAAGTTTTCTTTAAAAAATATACAAATAGACTAGGTGACAGAAGGACATTCGACCCATCAAGGTCATCCAACAAAGAAGCCAGACCAGCCTAAATTTAACATTTTTCCTTACCAGAAAATGTATTTCTGATAGACATCTCCACACACAGACTAACTTGATGCCTCACACACCTACCTTTGAGATTTGCATGCCACTAGCCTTGAAATAACTCCCAATAGGATGGACAAAATCTTAGCATAGCCAACCAAGCACCCACCCACAAGTGGTCAGCAAGCCATGAAGTGTAGTATGGTTACGGTACGATCAGACTGTACGTTATGTGACTCAAGTGGACAGACAGAGATGGGTAACTAACCATCGTGCTGCAAGAGGAGAACACACTAGCTGGAAAGGAGGTGACCCATACTGCACAGATGGTGCCATCACTACCCTACTTCCCACCGTACTGTGACGAATTCTCCAAGGTCCACCACTCCAGTTGCTAAGAACTGGTAAGTGTATAGGGCCTTCCATGCACCACTTAAAGAAAGGGGAAAGAATTCACATTGGGGTGACCCAGTGAAATGCCTGGATCCCTATCAGACACCTGCTAAAAACATCTTTTACTGGACACAGTGCAATGAATGACTGTGAAACTCTATTTTGAAAAGCTGGCAAGAGCAAACCAATGATGTAGTCAGTCTCTTTCTTAGTGCCAGCTTTTTCCATGATAGTCAATGGAATAGTACAGTCTTAAAACCATGAAGATATCTCTATTGATTTTATGAAACACCTTGTTTTGATGGTGGGCACTGGTAGAAACATGGTGAATGGGTTGAGCACTTTCTATTACCCTTTTCCCAATGCAGATTTTGGGAATTATGCAAACTCCACTGAAGCAACACCAGCCACCTGGCAGGATCCTATACGAGGGAATGGGAAAATTGTGAAAGAAAATGTACACAACTTTCTCAAAGATGATGTGTAGTTTTAATGAAGAACAGTAATGGAAGGGAACTGAAATCCCATAACAGATGGTATTGCCAGATGATGAAGATAATTGGAGATGAAAGTGTATTTGTCTTTGAAAATGTTAGGATGGGGTTAGGACCCTTGAGGGATGATAAAGGAAGGCTAGTATCAGATGATTATGAGAGGCTGGGTTATTAAATTTTGCTTTTTCTTCAGTTTTTACTAACGAAGATTTAAGAAGTATTCCACATTTTGAACAAATTGGTAAATGGAAATGAGATCAAACAAGATGACTACATTAATTCTGAGCTGGTTAAGAAAAAATGGGGAAGTTTAAAAAATGATAAGGCTCCTGAGCCAGATAATATTTCTCTAAGGTTTTGAAGGAGATTAAAGATTGGATATGTGAGCCACTTACTACTATTTTTTTTTGAGTCCTTGAATAGTGGGCAGGTATCATAGGACTGGAAGTTAGCTAATGTAACTCCTCTTCTCATGGGAGGTGATAAAAATTGTAAACCCATTAATCTTACATCAGTTGTAGGACAAGTTTTGGAAAGTCTGTTAAAAAATGCTTTACAAAGTAATTTAACAAAGTCTAGAATTTTATTGGATAGTCAACATGGTTTCACTAATGGAAAATCTTGCTTACAAATCTTACAAAGGTTACTGCTTATGGATTTTCAGAAAGTATTTGACAACGTGCCACATAAAGGGCTTGTAAAAAGATTCTCTATAGGTGTGGGGGATAAGTTAGCAAATTGGATAGAAAAGTGGCTGGATGGAAATAAAAGCAGAGGGTTGTCATAAATGGAGTGCTGTTAAAATGGATTAATGCCAAAGTGGAGTACTTCATGGCTCATTGATATAGATGAAGGAATAGTCAATAAATTACTTACATTTGCATATGATATTAAGGTCTTAGGTGTTG